CCTGCGCACTTCCCCCTTAGTTAAATTGATCTTAAATGTTTATCCCCAGTTACCGATTCACTGACCAATGGAGGATTGGCCTGACTCCATTAAGAGAGATATTGTCAGATCTCAGAGCACCTAAAGACAGCATAATTTTAAACTATAGCTAAGATGCTTAAACATGATCTCAGAAAACCTTTCTATATAAAGAGGGTTATGTGGAGGCACTGCCCCAGAAGGCAATAAATGCAGAATCAATTGATGTGTTTATGATAACAATAAGAAGAATCCTTGCAGTTGGTATTAACACCTTTCACATCATGAGGATGTCTCAAAGCACTTCAAAGGATAATATTGTAAAGTAGCAATGATTGTGTGTTTTGTGGGCGAACAATTCGTGCACAGCAATGTCCTACAAATAGCCATGGAGTGAGCAACCAAATTTATTTGGGGGATTGTTGACCAGGACACCAGGAGAAATCCCTTCTCTTTTCGAATAGTGCCGTGGGATCTTTAACCTCCACCTGAACAGGCAGATGGAGTCTCGGTTTACTGTCTCACCCAAAGGATGGCACCTCTGACAATGCAGCATACCCTCAGCACTGCTTTGGAGTGTCATTTTAGGCTAGAGTGAGAAATAGATAGGTACTTAGGAAGTACAGAGAATAGAAAGAAAAGGCAGGGAAATGGGATTAGAAAGATAAAGAGCTGTCGTGAGCTAACAAGATGGCAGAGCACAAACAATGAGCCAATTGGCACATGTATCCGAGATTTCTGCTGGGTATAGTGAAGATGATATGTGATCTAATTTCCTATTGTTCCCAGTATCTGATGCACGTATTCAAGTTTCCAACTGGGCTGGAGAGCTTGTTCTATTCAATTTGTCAGGTGATCTGAGTGGGAGGGGGTGGTTTTGAGCTGCATGATGTTCAGTGAAAGTAGCCTGGAGAATGTAATAATACTAATCCTTGCAATTGATATAGTGCCTTATCATTGAGATGTCTCAGAGCGCTCCACAGGATATGCTGTAAAGTGAATTGACTGTATATTTTGTGGCTGAAATGCCAATTGCACACAGCAGTGTCCCACAAACAGTTGTGGATTGAGTGACCAAATTATCATTATTATATTATAATATTATAATATAAAGTAAAGATCACTCTTTCATCCATCTTGGCTGCATACTGCAATTACATCGGCACAAAACAACGTCATTTTATATTTTCATGAACCTCAAATTTAGGAGCAAGACTCATGATATTATCTCAGCACACACAGCTTAGTTCATGCATGAAGATTCTTACCAATTGAAGGAATGGGAGGAGGAGATCATTGCAGATGCACACTAGAGGTTCTTGGTTTTTCTGGTGCTCTCAAGACATACTTGTATACTAGGCTAGTTTCTTTCCTAGATTTTAGAGCCAAATTGTTTGAATTGGTGGTGATGGTGGGGGAGACAAGCAAAACTAGTCTAGTAATTCATCCTCTCGATGTAATAGGGACAATACTGTACTGGTCTAGTCCAATTCACTTCCTTTTGCCTTCCACTGGCTCAATGCAGACATCTGGATCAGGATGAGATTATGAAAAATATCTTCACCAACAGAGAGAAATTTGACAAAAGGAAACTGTTAATAAAATAGTTATTGAAAACAGTAGAAGTTTGTAACTATATTGATTCATTGTGACTGAGTTGCTAACAGAGAATGGGTGGAGGCTCGTGTGGAGTATAAACACCAGCATGGACTGGTTGTGTCGAGTGGCCTATTTCCGTGCTTGTACCTTCCTTGTAAATCTTTGAATACATCTGGTAGGCAGCTGTCTTGTGTGACCTCCAAAACTCAGTGAGTAATTACCTGATTTCTGAAAATCAGTCGCGATGTATTGCCATTAACCAGCAAGATTCCCTGTTCATGGTGCGTCGTTCTGCATCGCTATTAATGAATGCCTTTGCAAACCCTCTGCAAACCCTTGGCTTTTTCTAATACTATCTCGAATTAGGTAATCTGATTACATCCATCCAGGAAAAGAATGCGCATTCCATTTCAATATGTTAGAATTTCAACAACAATTTGCATTTATATAGCGCCCCTCACACAGGGTATCGCCCCAGAGAACTTAGACCTCTCAGTTTGGGTGGATACCTTTAAACATGGTGTTGGGTTTCCGCATGTGTCAGACACCCGGCTGACCAAACAAATATATAAATCAGCCACTTTTCAAGTTATCTATTAGAATTTTGAGCATTTATTGAACCCCAACTTTAAAAAAAACACAGAATACAAGGAGCTGCCTGAAACTGATTTGAGAGGATTGTCATCACCACCACGTTTAGTACAAGCCTGCCAACTCTCTTAGTCTGAATTCTCCAGAGAGTACAAAGTTTTAAAATGGCTCATGGAGCAATTACAGAAAATCACACTGCATAATGTAATCCTTCAGGCTTTTCTGTAAGACATCTCTACTAGTCAAAAACAGAGGCATAATTCTTGTCAGTTCAATGACAAATAGATTCCAAGGAATCAATTATTAAGCACATCATAGTTTGGAGCTGAAGTGTGCATTGAAATATACTTGAGTTTTCAGATTTGAATTCAAATCACACCAGACTGCCACAAGCCTTACAGAGACTCCTGCCCTGACAATCCAGAGTGTAAGATGCTCATCCTACACCCTGGGTCGTGAAGAATATTCTATTCCAACACAGGAGAGCTCACCTGAAGAACTCTACTTATTAGAGTTTCACAGAAATTTGCCTCAGTTCGTAGTTTTCTCCAAGGATCAGAAGGTTGTGATCCATAATATATACTGACCTACCCATAATGTAGACTGACACTCCACTGCTGTACTGGGGGAATGCTGAATTGTTAGAGGTACCGTCCTGAGGGTGTGCAAGGTCCTGTGTCCCTATCCATGTGGATATTAAAGATCCCATGACACTAATAATAATCCCTCCAAAAAAACAAAACAATAATAAATTGGTCATTTTCCATCCACAACTGTTTGTGGGACATTGCTGTGCGCAATTGGCTGCCGCGTTCGGCCACGAATATACAGTCAATTCACTTTACAGTATCTTCTGTGAAGCGCTTTGGGATGTCTAGAAGACGTGAAAAGCGCTGTATCAAATGCAAGGATTATTATCATTATTAATGTTTTTGGGGAAAAAAGGGAGATTCTCCCATTGATCTGCCCAACAATCCCTCAAATAGGTTAGTCATTCAACTCATGATTGTTTGTGTGCAAAGTGGCTCCTGTGTTTAGCTGCAAAAATGGTCACCACATTTGATAATTTTTGCTGTAAAGTACTTTGAGACATTTCAAGAATGATATGATGCTATAAAAAATTAAAAATAGAAGTTCTTTCCTCTCAAGACCAAACACTTTTTTTTACACACACACTATGCAAGTAATAATAATAATGATCCTTTCATTTGATACAGCGCTTTGCATGTTGGGAACACATCTCAAAGCACTTCACAAAATATACTGTAATGTGTAGTGACTGTGAACTTTGTAGGCAAGTATCGACCACTTCGCAATTTCACTGGTCAACCTGCATTTTGAGGAATACCTCACACCATTTCTGATACTACAGATGAGCTGTCAAACCGAGGTCACATCTGTCTGGCCAGGTGAATGTTAAAAATCCCTATTGAAAAAGTGAAGGAAGTTTATCCCCGGTGCTGGACAACAATCCTCCAGATAAAATTGGTCACTCTCTCCATGTCCATTTGTGAGACATTGCAAATTAGTTGCTGAGTTTGCCCACAAAATACACACATCCTACCATTTTAGAGTTATATCCTATGAAACGCTTTGAGACATCTCGATGACGTGATAAGGGCGCTACATCAAATGTAAGGGTTATTATATAGACTGAAATTGGAAGTGGTTTGAATATTGGAGGAGGGAGATCATTTAGATCAGCTGGGTTTTCACCACCACGATTTCCAATGCAGTTGGTTCAATGATGCTCTTATGACTGTGATGCATTTTGATGCAAGTCACGTTGCAGTGTTCATCAAAAGGTGAAAAGGCTTAAAATACAGTCAGTGGAGAAAGGTGACGTGTCAATTCCATTTGCTCACTATTTTTCTGCTCTGTTTCTCAAGTTTACTGATTTTGCAGCTGGGCTGTGCTTATAAATACCTTTAATGCATTTTAAATTATAAGTAAAATTACATTATAATTATTTATAAGTAAACAGTGACAAATTTGATGAAGTTATCAAATGAAGTAAATAGCCCAGAGCTCCATTCAATTAATGTGTTGCATTGAGTAAACTAAGCAAAATAGCCCCCGAGTCTCTCTTTAAGCATATTTAATGCCATGTTTGTATTAGGAAGTTACATCAAAGCCAGCACAAAGATAACCAGATTTGAAACACCCAGAGGCTGGAGCTACGAATGTGCCCTGTTTATTCTGCGTGGAGGATTTAAAACCACTTGGAATTGTGTAAAACAAGTTTGCAAAATGATGCTGCTTTTAATTTCCATGACGTCTGTGGTAGGGTGTCTCAACCCTACCCCTATCCCGCCCACCCCACCCACCCACACACCGAGACAGCTCTACAAACAAAAACATTTGAATCTGTGACATTATTCACCCCCATATGAGTGAACACGGAGTCCTGTAGTGTATTGATTAGAACACTTGCCTCACAAGTGGGAGGACCTGGGTTTGATTCCCGGGCAGGGTAAAATGTTGGGCAAGTTTTGTTACTTCGCGCGCCTCTGTTTACCTAGCGATAAGTAGGAACCCGGTTATTAGTCAATTGGCAAATCGTTTTTCCCGGGGTAATAATCCCTTTAAAAAAATAAACTGGTCACTTAAACCACAACTGTTTTGTGGGACACTGCTGTGCACAATTGGTTTCGCCCACAAAATATACAGTCAATTCACTTTGCAGTATATTCTGCGAAGTGCTTTGAAATATGTCAAAGACTTGATAACGCTATATCAAATGCAAAGATTAATATTACATATGAAATATTATCTTGTGTAAATATTCTTACCTTCCCCGTTCTAGTTGCTATTATTGTGTGAAACTGCCCGTCTGCCACTCTCTGGTCTGCGACCAGTCTAACTGTTCCATTGCCAAGGTTGTAAGAAAACGCGACCTTGCCATTCAATATCTCTAGGGCAAGAAATTCACCGCCTGTGGTTTCTTTGCCATCATAGTTGTACAGGAGGAGAGAGTTTTCTTTAACTGTTGCAAACTCCATATAAATGATGTTGTTTGTAGGATCAAGGGAAGGGAACTCCGCATAGGACAGTTCTTCAAATCCCCAACTGTCCAGTTCACACTCATCCCCACTTGTGCCTGTAAGGAATTAGGCTAAGTTTAGAAAACATTATAGGAAAATGGTTTATAGCAGGACAGTGCTGTCAATAAGGCTACTTATGTGATGATCAATAGAGTTAATATTTTGCCTTGTTGAAAATTATAAGGTTGATATACATTGGCAGAATTCTCCCTCATTGACGTGGTGAAAAATTCACGCATTGTGTCAAATGAACATTAAGAACTGGCCTATTGGGAATCTATGGAGTTTCTTGCTTGGAAGCATAAATCATAGTTATAAATCATAGATTTACACATAGTTATGTATCATTAATCATACTTATACTCATAGAATTATCTTCTCTTTCAAACTTTGCTGTGTTGTGCAATTTGCTAAAATGTAATACATTCTCTCCACTTCCATAGGAAACCTGACAACAGTGCCCCCTGTAGGAAGTGAAGCCCTCAGATTGGCATCATATAAAACTAATAGAAATTTCTCTTGTGTTGTTGTGTTTCTTGATTTAGTGTGTTAACAAATTCACAAATTACCCACCCCATACCTCCGATACTTAAACATTTGTTAGCACTGCAAAACATTTCACAAATAATTTGACAAATGTATCAGTAACGATACACAGATGTAATTTCATGATTCTGAATATTACTTGGCTAGAGTTACAAAGTGACCTCTTCAACAAAAAAACTCTGCATATAAAGTACAATTAACATTTTGTGTATAATTTTAAAATTGAAACAATATATATTTGAATCTTAGCTAAAAGTTAGGATTCAATTTCTAAAGCAAACAGAACATTCCTGATTGTACAGGAACTTGAAGTCTAATATCACTTTTGGCCATCTCTACAAAATTAAGCCCTGTTTGTTGGATCATAATTCATCCGGGTTGGCATGATGTTGATATAGGAAGCCACTTACCAAATGGACATTTGCAACTGTAGCCATTGGGAAGGTTGATGCACATTCCATGATTTAGACAAGGAGACACCAGACAGTGATTAATAGTGTTTTCACAAAATTTACCTGTAACAAAAATTGTCTTTATTTTCACATGGATCATGGTCTGAATGCATAACATTTAAGTAGCTTTAGTATTTCGAGAGAGGTATTAAAATAGATTGTTGCGTCTGTTTGAAATCCCCCTTCTCAAAGGTTTCATATACAAAACCGAAACTCATTATACAGGGTTGCAAAACAGGTTTATACCTGCAATATAACACACAGCAAATTTCTAGTTTGTAGGCGGAAAGTCTTAAAATAGGGTTATGGAGTTCATCAAAAAATAAAAATAAAATGGAAGCAGACAGGGAAAGCGACAAATCAGTCCAGGCTTCTCTTGTGTACCTCATCTCAAGAGCACCTTAGGGGCAAATTTTCTGTCTGCCTTACAAACCGGGTAGTGGGTTTCAGGAATAAAAATGTAAGGGGAAATTAGAGAAAGAAAGAAACTGTAAAACTTTAGAGAAGTAGTCTAGAATTATTCACCAAGGCATTGGAAAAAATTATGTCATGTTGCAAAAATATTAAATATTGGATTTTACAGCAAAGGTGGCCAACATTCAAAGATAGTTGTAAAGAGCAATACAGTATAATCTTATATATATATATTTAAAAAAGCCAGCACTGGGAACAGAGAACTCATGTTTATTGCCAGAGGGTGGCTGTTGGAGTGGTATCATTTGGGAGCATTTCAAACAGGAATTAGAAAAAAAAAACACCTTTGGAGGAAGAGTATTAAAGGATGCGGGAATAGTTAGTTTAATCATAAGAACATAAGAAATGCTAGATGAAAAAAGACCAAGGTCCATCCAGTTTGCCTTCCACTTTCCTGGTGGTCGCATGCACATATGTCCCAAACTGCCTATGCACTGTATCCCATAATCTTATTTCCTATAATAATGTTATTTCCTATTAGAAATAATATTCAGGGAGCAAATGCCAAAAATGTATATGAGTTAAATGTCCCTTCTGTCGTGGCCTCGATTTCCATGGTGCTATGAAAAATACTTTTGCATTTTTATAGCACCCTTTCTCCAGGCTAGCATCTCAGAACACTGTCGGAGCCATTTAGGCAGAGAAATTTATTTTGCCACAAATTGTAGTGACTTTCACAATGTTTCATTATTCGTTTATATCTTCAAAAGTTGCTACACTTAGCAGTAAGAGGAATTTCTTCACTCATATGACCTAGATTATCAGTAAATTTACCTATCTCAATAAGCTATTCATAATGTCATGATACCTATCTGAAAACTCCCCCTCTCTGCTTTCAATACCCTTCCAAAAAATTACCTCTAATCACATCCTTGGTCCCTCCTACCCTCTCCCATTTCCCACCTCCCTCAGGTTTCAGCCTTTATGAATCACTTTGAGATGTTATCAAGAAAGGCATTGTATTAATGGGTGGGTGGGTGGGTGGTTAGTTGGATGGGTAGGTTGCTGAAAAATGATTGTACCACATATATAATTATTTTCGTCAAGAAACATTATGTGTACAGTATTTATCTCTTACTGTAATTATTACCTGTACGTCCTAAGGGACAGATACACAGCACCTCTTCAGGTACAATCAGGCAGGAAGCTCCATTTTGGCACAGGACACCCTGGCATTCATCAACATCTGCTGTACAAAGTAGTCCTGAGTAGACTTCAGTGCATGTACAATTGAACCCTCCAGGGTAGTTGAGGCAAGTCCCACCATTGCTGCAGGGGGCAGACTCACAGTAATCGATGAGCAGCTCACACTGTTGACCAACATACCCTAGTGAGCAGCTGCAAGTAAAAGGCTCCATGAGGACATGGGTTAGGAAAATGACCGAAGGGCTTTCTAAAACTGCAGTGTCAGAGCTGAAGCTGATTTGCTTCCTGCAGACAGCCCTGTGGTAGCAAACATCTGTGGTGCAAGGATCATAATTGATTGCAGATATTGTTACTCCACTACGAGTGGTAAGGAGCTCCTTATGAGCTGTGAAAAACTCTGTTACAGCACTTCTTGATATATACTGCCCATTACTTCTTTTAATAGCTCCCATCAGAAGGGTGGTATTACCCACAGGCGTCATCCCAAATAAATGCACTTCAGCGTTGCCTTTGCTTAAGAAATTATTGATGGTCTTCACGAAAGGCGCATAATGTTTGGAAAGAAATTCTGTGAAGAAGGGTGTGGCCAGGAGGAGAAGAATACTGTTGTCGATTGTGGCATTGCTGAATTTGCGGTAAGTTATGTGAACACTGCTGGAGACTGTGCTGTGAACTTTGTCATTTGCCTCAACTGTGAGCCTGAAGTCCGTTTCCTCAAACTGCTGATCAGACAGAAGCTCACAGGACTCCGATATAGCAAAGGCGGTTGTTGACTCATTTTCTATGCTGCAGGTGAAAATATCTGAAACATCTGGATCTTCTGGTTTCACACTACCCAACTTTCCACCAGGATAGTATTTACCATAATAATTTACCTGAATGTAAAGGTTTCTGGGCTGGGACGGGTTGTCATTCTGGTCTAGAACGAGGATGTGTACAGTTCCCATTGAAGACATTGGAGGGGTTCCAGAATCCTGCACCATGACAGGCAGATACAGCTCAGTAATATGCTCTCTGTCAATCAGTTTCTTTGTAGTCAAAACGCCCATTGGAGACAAAGTAAAAAAGCTTCTGGAATCCTCGTGTGCTAGCTGGTAAGTGAATGGTCCTTGATTAGGAGGCAAATCCAAATCAGTAGCATTCAGAGCTAGAATTTCTCTACCAGGTGGTTGGTTCTCAGTTACATACCCTTTAGTAGTAACTAGAATGGGGCCATTGTCATTCACATCATCAACTATGATCACGAGCTGAGTACTGCCTGTTGCTGGAGTTTGTCCACTATCAAAGGCAATGATGGTTATGTTATAAACTGGCAAAGTTTCCCTATCAAGAGGAGAAGCAACAAGCACAACACCACTGTTAGGATTGATAGAAAATGATTGATTTGTGTTTCCATCTTCAATTTCAATCAGGAGCTGATTCCACTCGGGGACAGTGTCTGAATCCTCAGCCATCAGAGTTATAACTGAGGTACCAACGAGCACATCTTCTCGAATGTGGGTCTGGTATATGCTCGATTTAAACACTGGAGGATTATTAACATCAAGAAGAGTAATATTAATCAGTGCTTCATCAACATCAAAGCCATAAATAATTCCTGCATTTTTAGCAAGCACATGAAGAAGAGTGAAGCTTCCACCGCACAGTTTTGTGTTATCAGAGACAACTATCACCCCAGTATTGCCATCAATCTTGAAGCCTCTTTTTTTGCTATTTGCTACAAGCAGATAGTTAACTATTCCATCACAACCAAGATCACGATCAGTTGCAGTCACATAACCTACAATCGTTCCTTTGGGAGCAATCTCTGAAATAGCAAAATTATAATGTGCTTTACTGAACTGGGGAAGGTATTCATTTTCCCCTGTTACGTTAATATACACCTTAGCCAAACTGAAGTGATCGGTGTCATGCAAGTTAAAAGCTCTTACAGTTATTTCATAGAACTGAAGCATCTCAAAGTCTAAAATCTCTTGCACAGTTATTATTCCACTCTGTTGATCTACAGCAAACATATCTGTGTGTCCATCATCAATAGAAAAGTTTATCTCAGCATTAAGTCCAGTGTCAACATCTGTCGCATTTAATTTAAGCACCTCAGTGCCACATGGCGAGTTCTCTGCTACCGTCGCAAAAAAAATGGTGTTGCAAAATCTTGGAGGATTGTCATTGACATCCTCAACTTGTACAAGAACATTAAGAGATCCAGTCTTCGATATCCACCCTGCATCTTGCCCGTAAATCTGAAGAACATGAAAGGAATCCATTTCAAAATCCAAGCTTTCAACTAAACTTAGCAATCCAGTAGTGTTTCCAACAGTAAAATAACCTTTATCATTTCCAGATGCAATGGAGTACTTTATGAGGCCATTTACCCCCTGGTCATTGTCAGAAGCAGTAAGTCTCCCAATAACAAACCCAGGAGCTTGGTCTTCAGGAATAGAAAAAGTCATCTCCAAAGTGGAAAATTTTGGAGCAAATTTATTTTCTTCAGTTATCAGGAAATTAGCTTTAACACCAGATGAGAGAGATGGCATGCCTTTGTCTGTGGCTGTTACTGTTATGCTGAATAGTTCATTTAGACTCGACGTTAGAGAATTGTTCACAAAAACCCAACCACTCTCTTGCTCAACGTCAAATAGAAATGAACTGTTTCCTCCAGTGATATAATATTCCATTGCTCCATCTGAGTGCAAGTCCTTATCAGTTGCTGTTAGTTTTATCACCTTGGTGCCGAATGTTAAATTCAAAGGAACAGGGGTTATGTTCCTATGTGACAAAAACATAGGTGGATAATCATTACGAGATACAATTGTAACCATCACTGTTGTCTCACACTGATTCGCTGGCTCGCCACGATCAGAGGCAATTACACTCAGGTTAATTTTATTTGTGTTGGTGTGATCGGAATTTTTAAATGAAACAAACTGCTTGGTGAAGATCTCACCAGTTGTGGCATTAATTCCAAAGAATTCATTCGGAAACTTAAGGAGGTAGAACACCTGACCATTTTGATTCAGGTCAGGATCAGTAGCAGATACCTGGAGAATAAACACTTCTTTTTCTTTAGGCTCTGGAATAGTTACTATGTAAAATGGCTCAGTGAACCTGGGCTCATTGTCATTTGCATCAGTAACTAATAAAGTAACATCCGTGTTTACACTCCAGGCTGAATCATTGGCGTGTACTCTTATAATGTACTGATCAGTTGTCTCTCTGTCCAATAGCTTCGCCACGGTTAAATCTCCAGTATTTTGATCGATAGCAAATGGTAATTTTGTTGTTTGATCCAAAATACTGTAGGTGCTAATAGCATTTACACCAATGTCTTCATCTGTGATGGTCATTCGGACAATGATAAAACCAACTGGAGCATTTTCAGGAACATGTGCAAGGAAGATTTGTGGAAAGCGCGGGGCATTGTCATTTATGTCTAGAACAGAGATGATGACCACGGCTGTGCCTGTCTTGGACTTGCTTCCATTGTCTTTTGCTTGAATGATCAATGCATATGATGCCCGTTTTTCTCTGTCTAACATGTGAGTGGTTCTTATGATTCCACTAAAACTACTAATAATAAATGCATTATTGAGATTTCCATCAACAATACTGTATTCTAACTTCCCATTCAGAGCAGAATCCTGGTCAACTGCAGAAATATTACAAACTCGACTGGCTGGAACATTCTCATATATCTCACACCTGTACTCACTCTGCTGGAAGGTGGGACAATTGTCATTAACATTTGTAATGTTGACATCGATTCTGGCATAAGAGGAAAATGGGGGTGAACCCGAATCCCTGGCTTCAATCCAGAGATTGTAATATTTTATCATCTCAAAATCCAGCGGGTTTTTTATAATCAGTTCTCCTGTACGTTGGTCAATCTGAAAGTCATCGCCAATGTTGCCCGCTGCCAGAAAAAAGGAAATGGGTCCAATTTCTCCTCTTTTGCTGCTTGATGCATTGACCTTCGTGATCACAGTGTTTAGCACTTGATCTTCTGGATAGATGTACACTTTCTTGTCCAGAAACATTTGAGGGAAGTCAGTAGTGCTCTGAAAACGCACTGTGACTGTTGTCTTGTCCATTTTGGGATCTTTTCCTCGATCCATTACGTTCACATCAACTGTAATATCCAGTGGTCCCTTCATTACCTGAGCTGCAATGATCACACCTCTAAGTGAGTCAATGGTGAACTTCTTTGCATTTGTACCAGACAGAGTAAAACGTAGGTCACCATTTATCCCAGTGTCTGGATCCTGTGCTGTTACTGCATAGACTATTGAGCCTGTTGGAGTGAGGTAAAGGCAGATATTCAACACAAAACCAATCCAAAATAATTTGATTACAATCAACAACAGTAAGATCACATGAGTTATTAGATCTAAGTTTTGTAATATTTCTGAATGGGATTCTTTAATAGGACATCCAAGTTGTGCAAATAAGAAATTCCAGTTCCTCTAACAGGATTATATTATACTATTTCCCAGGACTTCCCTTTGAATGCAATGCACTTCCACCGTGGAGTAGCTATAGATTGACAGGAAGGATTTATTTTAATATATACCCCAAATTTGAGCCCAATGTCTCAAATTACCTTACATCACACAATTAGAAAATTCTAAATTGACCCTGTGGAGACAGACAAAACTGACAAGCTGCATATAACTTTAAATCATCTTGTCCCAAGGATTTCATCCTATCAGATTGCAACTGCACCCAAAAAGGCATACTGAGTAGCATAGGACGAAACCTTAGGCAAGTTTCCTTAATCTACACGCCTGTTTACCTAGCAGTAAGTAGGAACCTGGTTGTCAGTAGATTGCCAGATCGCTTTTCAGTCAGTAATAATCCCTTCAAAAAATAAATTAATTAAAATATATAATAACATTTTGGTCACTCAATTCATGACTGTTTGTTGGACACTGCTGTGCGCAATTGGCTGCCGCGTTTCGCTCATAAATATACAGTGTTTTGTGGGTGAAATGCGGCAGCCAATTGCACACAGCAGTGTCCCACAAACAGTCATGAACATGACGAAATTATTTTTTTTGTTGTTTGAAGGGATTATTCCCCCCTGAAAAGCAATCCGCCAATCGACTAATAACTGGGTTCCTTCTAACTGCTAGTTAAACAGAGGGGTGTGGAGTAAAGGAAATGTTTCCCAACGTTTTGCCCTGGTTAAATGTAAGAAAAGCAGACTGGAGTCAAATTTGCAACATTTCTATTTCTTAAAGGGATTTCTTAATTAAGAAATCCAGAAGGCCGATGTGGCTGACTTGTTGGATCGCTACTTCAACTTCATCTATTTTGGTAACGGAGTTTTGTTTCCAAATGTGCTTCTGAAAGTCTTAATTAAGAAATACTACAAACAGTTGACACCATGTTGCTAATATTTATGGAAAAGAGTAATTTGTATCCATAATACGGAACTGTTACAGGTTTCCCCCATCCCTTCCTTAACTCTCCCCCACCACCCCATCTTAACTGAATCTATAAAGCTTTGAGACATTCTCCCGATGTGAAATGCACTACAGTAAACCTCACATAAGTCATATCAGTTGGGACGATACATTTAATATGACTTATGCAAAATAGGAGTTATGTCAAATTTGCATAGAATATAAATTCTTGAACGGGACTTGGAGAGGTGTACAACTTAAACGATTATATGAATTATACAGATCAGACTTATACATGTTATATTGTATATGAATGGAAAATTGTTGTAGCATTTTTGCAAACATCATGTTTGTAAACTTCATTTTCTTACGTAGGTGAGTTCAGTAACTTACCCACGTATAGTGTTACAGGAACATTAGCAACGTATGGGTCATTCAGGAATTTAGGAGGTTCGTCATTAACATCCTCTATGATTACTGATACTGAGGTTGAGCTGGATCGGGGCTGCGTGCTATTTCTGTCGGTCGCGATGATGGTTAGTGTGTAGTTAGCTTGTGTTTCTCTGTCCAAGGCAGAAGCAGTGATAATTTCGCCATTGATCATGTTGATAGAGAAGGAAGACCCTCCTCCTTCCATTGAGTAACTAGAAATGAAATCAGTGCAAATTATGTACAACTAGTTTTCAAATACTTTCATGCCCTCACACCTCCCTACCTATCCGGCCTGCTTACCCCCTACTCCACCACCCGCTGCCTCTGCTCGGTTGGCTCCAACCTCCTGTTTGTCCCTCGTCCTCTCCACCATCGGTGGTCATGCCTTCAGCCACTACACGTCGAAACTCTCTCCCTCAATCCCTCCGCCTTGCCCCCTCCCTCCGCATTTTCAAATCTTGCCCAAAGACCTTCCTTTTTCATCGTGCTTATGGCCCACATCCCTCTCTCCCTGGCTCGGAGTCAGACAAACCCACTGTCAAGCGCTCCGGCACACTACCCCGTGTGAAGGGCGCTATATAAATATTCCTTTTGCCCCACATAAGTTTTAACTTTTCTATAAAGAAATAGCTTGGAAGTTTTACCAACGAGGGTGAGTAGGTTTAATGAGTGGAAGGAAAAATTGTTGGAAATTGGATGCTGTGACAATTTTTCAAAAATTGTGTATATAACTATTATTGTCTTATGTAAAAGAAAAAAACAGGGAGAATAAAGACTAAGAGACTTTTGGAAACTTATATTGTTTCACTAGCTTGATGAAGTTCCATTCACATCAAGGTGTGAACAAGACTGGTCCTATGACAGAAACTCTGCCATAAACAAAACACAATGTGAAGTGCTGGTGTCCATTCTACTTCTCCCCCAAATTGAATAGCTCTTTGAAGTTCACAAACTCACAGTTCAATGGACATAGAGCTACCAGCTTTCAATGATTCATTAAGTTCAAAGAACTAGAGTAGAGTCTCCAGGATGTGAGTTGGATTCTCTATAACAAGAGGGAGAGCCATCTGACAGCAAATCTGTGTGAGAGGGAGAGAGTCAGATGGACAGAAAGAGAGAAACATGCAGAGAGATGAAAGAACTAGATACAGTTAAGTAGGTAGGTAGTTGAAACCAGATTTTAACTGGTAACTTTTACATTGAGTTTTCTGTTTTACTATTTATTTTGCTTAATTCGTTATGTTCAGTGCCATGTATGTAGACTCATTTTAAGTAAAATCTTCAGATGCATTCTTGAGCTGGAAAATTAAATGGTGAGATTGTTAATATTAATTTACCTCCTGGATATATGGCTAAGAAACAAAATCCCAGTTTGTGAATTGACCGTGCCAGACCAGCCTGACCTTGTTGATTGAATTTACGAGAAAGCTGGACAAACTAAAACAAGTGCGAGAGGAGCAATAAAGTGCCTGGCAGAAATCGGTAGCTCCTTTGAAGTAATCAGCCTATGAAGGGCATTTGCTGCGCGCAATTGGCTGCCGCGTTCGCCCACAAATATACAGTCAATTCACTGTGCAGTATATTCTGTGAAGCGCTTTGGGACGTCTAGAAGACGTGAAAAGCGCTATATCAAATGCAAGGATTATTATTATTATTATTGATGAAGCTGAAGACATTGGGTATGCTAGATGGATCAACAATCTATTCTTGCCTGAAATTGTTACTGTGTTACTTTGAAGCAGGTATACTTTAGGTTCCCTGAAAGTTATGGAGGGATTTAAAGCGATGTGTCACAAAAGCTGTCAAATAAATAAAAGTTCAAGCTATTCGCTTAGACATCACACATACACTGGATTTTACAATATATGGATAGAGCAGTCGTGGAATGTAATATAAACACAGTAGCAAAAAACTGAAAATATTGTTATTAAACGGTGACTAAACGAGTTTCAGGTAAGGAGGTAATGTTGTCCAATTCTGCATGGTGTTTTCAGGATTCAAACTCAATTTAGCCACATCAATTTCTTCTCGATGTTAATAAAATGCTGAATATTAGCAGCAGATTGATCATTATCAAAAAGAGAAAGGTAGGTTAACATTCTAGATACAGGGTGGTCCAACTGGCGGCCCGCAGGCTGCATCTGACCTGGGGGATGATTTTATCTGGCTCGCAAACTATTTCCAATCTGGCTTCCGCCCCTCAGCAGCCAAAAGGTTGGACTAACCTGGTCTAGAACATCTGCAAGGGACATATTGGATAATCAATCAACCTGTATGGAACTGTGCTTTGCAATCTGGAGAGAACTTTTCTGTGCTAACAGCAGAGTCATGGATTTATTCATTGGCAGTGAAGAGAAGATAACAAGAGAGTTAGCCTGGCTCATTGGTAGTACTCTTGCCTCTCAGTCAGAAGATGACATGGGTTTAAGCCATGTCAGGACTTCAGACTCATATTGTCTAAGATGACAATTCAGTCCAGTACTAGGAGTGTGCTGCATTGTTGGAGGTATCAATCCTTCAGATTAAATGTTAAATCCGTCTTCGGATGAGATGTTAAAGGCCCTGTCTGCCTGTTCAGGTGGACGTTAAAGATCCCATGGCACTATTTGAAAAGAGTAGGGAGTTTCTCCCAGTTTCCTTACCAACAATCCCTCAAATAAAATTGGTTATTCATTTCATGGTTGTTTGTGGGACATTGCTGTGTGCAAATTGGCTGCAGCATTTGTCCAGAAAAAACACAGTCACTACACTTTACCGCATATCCTGTGAAGTGCTTTGAGATGCCCTCTGTTGTGAAAGACACTATACCAAATGTAAGGTTTATTATTATGATTATCATCACCGCTTATTAATATTATTATTAGCTGAAAAGACTTTTTAAATTTAGCAAATGTGTGTTAACAGACAGGCAGGTGGATGGAAGAAATAATGAGAAAGCTGCACCATAACAAATTCCCCAGTTTGTAGCAGAGACATACAAGTCTGTATAGTGTCAGGGTGACCCCAGTGATATCTTACCTGATTTGTCCATTCTCCCCAGTGTCTGGATCAACAGCATTGATTGTCACAACATTTGTGCCGATGGGAACATCTTCACCGACTGTGACAGGATCCACATTCAAGTCAAAGAGTGGATTATTATCATTAAGGTCATCAACAACAATGGTAATTATTCCAGTGCCAGTCAACGGAGGAATGCCTACAAGTAAGAGATAAGCAAAATGCATGCGACTGTCATGTGTCATCTCTCTATTAACACAATCGCATGCTTTTCAAATGAATAATGCGTTGCAATTTTGATAATTAACAGGAAACTTGAGCAGATATATGTTATAATAATATAATAATCCTTACATTTGATATAGCGCCTTATCATGCATTCGAGACTTCTCAAAGCACTTCACAGAATATAGAGTAAAGTGAATTGACTGTATATTTTGCGGGCTAATCGCAGCAGCCAATTGCGCACAGCAGTGTCCCACAAACAGTTGTGGTTTGAGTGACCAAATTATTAGTATTTTTTTAAAGTACTCTCGCCTCTCAGTCAGAAGAGCGATCTGCCAATCGCATAACAACTGGGTTCCTACTTACTACTAGGTATAGAGGCATGTGGAGTAAGAAAACTTGCTCAAGGTTTTGCCCTGCCAGGAATCGAACCCGGGTCCTCTTGCTGGTGAGGCTAACTACTATACTACGGGACTAGATTAAATGCTCTGTCTAGCACTGGAGCAGAATCCTCAGTGCAATGCTCATCTGGTTACTAGCAGGAGTTACTATTTATGATCCCGGATACAAATATCATGTTTTAGATCCCAGTATTTCCAAATACAGCTTAGAGTAATTATCTTCAGTAATAGTCGTAAAAAAAATCCTTGCATTTGATTATAGCATTTTATCACATCTTCGAGAAGTCTCAAAGCGCTTCACAGGATTTGCTGTAGAATGTAGTGCTTGTAGATTTGAAAGGCAATAACACTAAAGGTATCATTGTATAATGAAATATATAACGCAGTTCAACAAGATTCAAGTACTACAGCATATTTTTCCGAGTGAAGATGTCCGTGAGAGATGGAGGAAGGTGAATAGAGGCATGTGATGCACATACAAAATAAATACCATTCAGATTCTTCATAAATTGCTTTCAAATTAAATTGATCATTCACTTCTGGCTGTTTGTGGTACATTGCTGTGCGCATATTGGCTGCTACATTCACCCACAAATACGCAATCAGTAAAATCCTGTGAAGCGTGATAAAGTGCTATACCAAATGCAAGGATTATATTATTATTCTCCATGTGATGAGTAAAGCGAATGGTAATTAAAGTGCAGCGAATTATAATTCTATATTTTGGAGAATAAACATCTGTGATTCTTGATACCAGTAACTTGGTACAGAAGAAGATTGGTAAATTTATGGATTGATGAATTTACTATATATTCTCCCAAGTGCTTATGTTGTGGAACAGCTGTTGCTCACTGAGATCAATTTGCTCTGAGAAATGTGAATAAAGATCACCCCCAATATATTGGAGCAAAAATAACAAACCAGATGATAACCTTTACCTCTATTGGAACATTTGGTTAAAGACCTTTCTTTTCGACCGCGCCTTTGGTCATCTTCTTCCCCCTCCCCCTGGCTTGGCCCTGGGATTCATTATTGTGAAGCGCTCTGAGACGCCGTCCGGCATAGGGGAAGTTATATAAATCCAAGTTGTTGTTGTTGTATAGGCAGCACCAAAGTAACCAACAACAGCCTCAGAACTGAGGCCCTGATTGCTCAAGGTCCAAACCATTGTCTTTTAACAGTTTATTGATTTGATATCATGCAGAATTTTGGAAACATTTTAAATTGCACTTTTAAGCCGGATTTCTGTAGAGTACAGATATTCATCTTCGATGTGAAAAGTAAATTCAAGGATTAATCTAAAAATGCCTATCTCTTTAACAATCCTCATTTCCCAGTTGGGTAGGACAGAAGAGTTCCCGATGCGCATGGGTGGGATGCTAATAAACATCAGATGCTCTCAAAGCCGTACATGTCATGATCCATCTCCCTCTGTATGTACCAACAGTCACATTGATTGCCCTTTACAAGGCCATTCAGTGCTCCAGCATTGACTCACAGGCATTGGTCCTCAATTTTCCACATCAGGAGCAGCAAAGAGAAATTAGGTTTTAGCCCAGAACATGTTTCTCAGAACATGTTTATTTTCTAATTCTCTTGGGTCTCACACTGGGAGAGAGGACCAGTACAGTGTAAATGCCAACAGTTTAGAATCCTACAAACTCTAAATGAGTAAATTGCATGGTCAGAATGTGAGTGGTTACTCATAGTTACTTATATAGCCCATTTTTAGGGCTCTCTTGGTTCGAGTGAAACAATAGATTCAGTTAACTGAACATTGTGGTTAGACTTAATCTCTCCCGCACCCCCTCTCTCCCTTTCTCTCTCTCTCCAAACTCAGCAAAGGATGTTTAGAACGTGGAATTCCAATATTGGCCTATTTTAATTTTGTCATAAACACACATTAACAGACCAATCATGCACACCTTCCCCTAAGAACAGTGCAGACTCTAAAAAAAAAGGAGTTTTTTTTATGCGGAAACCCATCATCATGCTTAATGGAACCCAAACAAAACTGAGAGTTCCATGCAACCCACCCACACTTGGAAAACTCGACAAACTAGGACTTTGTGAAATCACTAGACAAGCTAGGGATCTTCAGTCTTGAGTCTTAAGAGAAGATAACTCAAATGGGGGAACCAGATAGGACTATAACATTTTAAATGAGATTGAAAAAGTAAAACGCAGATCAATATTTTAGGATGTATCCAGTCAGTAGAACAAGAGGACATAGGNTTTTTTGAGATGTAATAGGCAATTTCAGGAACAGTTACCAACAGGTTGCCAGGAAAGGTGGCCAGGACAACAGACTCATTTAAAAAGCAGCTTGATGCAGTGATGCGGGTGGGTGTTCTGGAGGGATGAGGATGGGTCTTGTAATCTTATGGAAATTACCTGCAATGCAAATCTCCCGACGTGAAAGATGCTATACAAATGTAATTTTCTATTGTATTGTCCTCTCCCTGGCTGACACTCCAATGCAAAGCTGGGCTTACGCTGCATTGATAGAGGTGCCATCCTTCAGTTGAGATGTTAAACTAACATCCCATCTGTGTGTTCAGATGGATAAAGGTTAAAGTTCCTGTGGCACTTTTTTTTTAAAAAAAAGGAGTCTCCTCAAACAACAATCCCCCAGATAAAATTGGTCACTCATTTCATTATTATTTATGGGACATTGCGTGCACAAATTGGTTGCAGGGTTCACCTACAAAATACAGTCACTACACTTTACAGTAAATGCTGTGAAGCACTTTTAGACATCTTCCTGATGTGAAAGGAGCTTTAATCAAATCCAAGGATTGTTATTATTTATTAGATTCAATTTGACAGTTTTCAACCTGCCCAAATTTCACGGTTTGTTGTCTGGAGTTCACTAGCAAAGGCAATGTTGTATCTCTCTGAATGACTTGAACAGATATCCAGGAAAAGGCTTGATTTCCCAATGAACTATCCCTTTCAGGTTCCCTCTCAGGTATTCCATTGTGAACCACAGCGTTAACCCTTTGCTCTCTCGGAATAAGATTCTTCCTTTAAAGTTGATGGCTTTTGGGCAGGAAAAATAAAATAAAGAGTTAAAGCACAGAACTGACAACTGAAGGAAAAATGCATGCTCCAGGGCCAAAGAAGCAATAAGTTTGTCCTTGATATAATAGGTTTGCTTGGGTGGTTATTGAATGCAATTCCTTTCAGTTTATGTAACTGTCCTCTGACTTTATGGAGCACAAAGTGGAATTGATGTGCAAGCCATTGACCCTTAAAAGTTTAGAATTCCACATGGCTGATAGAAGGTAGGGGTGTGTGCGCGTGTGTATTACACTGCTGGCAGTATTCAAGGAATAGATTTCTTGTCTTTCAACACTCCAACTGAGATTAGAGGGGAAGAAATGTCTAGAGACAGGATTTTTTATTCAAACTATTTCCTCCAGACATAGGGAAATAATGCAATACAAGTCTAGTTTCCGTGAAGGCTGCTCTGTCCTCTGTACAAAGTATGAGTAGCTGTAGAAATCTTTCCAATGGAGCAGTCCAATTTGCAATGCAAGCTCACATAGAAAAATACAACATAACAAATGAATAACTCTTGGGCTTTACAGTCAGCCACTTGGTTCAATTTCCCCTTGAAGAACAGATTATTTTAAAATAATAATTCTGGTGTCAAGGAGCTGCATTCATACCTGAGTGGTTCCATTCATTTTAGGAGAAGCAGTACTTTGGATTAGCCAAGAAGCCGTTCAAGGCTAAACTAGTGGAAAAACTCCTGTATGTGACAGATATTTTTTGCATAATCACGAGCACAGTTGTTTTCTGGGGTCATGGGACACTGGATGTTGCATCCGCCTGGAAAGTGGAAGGCGAACTAGGTGGACCTTGGTTTTTTTTTATCTAGTGTTTATGTTATGTTCTTATGGATTGGCTTCTGGATATCCACCCACTTCCCCTTTTTTTTTAATAGTAATTGGATGAGATCAGTATTATTAGTAATATAATGAGAGCCAGGTGGGCCAGCATAAGTGATGAAACAAGGAACTACAGTCCAGCCTTGTTATAACACAGAAGGTGAAATCCCAAAACCCAAACCCTGGCTATTACGGTGCATGTGCCCAACCATTCGGCTCTTACAGTAAAAAATGGCCAACCTCTAGGTCAGCAGGTCATTGCAACATCACTTTTCTGTGTCTGCACAAAAAGCCTTCAAACACAGTAACCCAATGACCTAGGAAATTGGCCTTTTTCTTAAATATGAAATGCTAAAAACCACAGCAAAAAAAGGCAAATAAATTAAGATTGAATCGAAGGATTTGCCAAATTTCTGCACATTCTTCAATTTTAAGACAATGGTTTTAAACGTGAGAAATTTTGGGCTTCAGCAGCAACTCTTAGACCATGAGTGCAATAAATAAAGCATGAATTTGAAAGAGCTATCAAGAATTGATCACAGGTTTTTCAGAACCTTACTTAGATTCACCTCAATTTCAAAAGCAACCCTAAGTATGGAATTGAATCATTAAGAGGAGCATTTACTGGGAGAGAAAACATTGGAGTCCATTATCACAACATAGCTTTAATCCAATGCATTAAGAGCCTCTCTGTTATCCTAATAGATTTTCCCTCATCCGTGAAATCTACATTTTATGGAAATGTGATGTGTATGGTTGCAAGTGGAATATCTTTCAATACTTTAAACTTAGTTGATGATAACCTGTGGACTTCCATTTTGTTGCTTCAATTAATTATTTTGAAAACAAGCACAATATATATTATATATAATATATACACACACACAAAGTATAGGGATTTTAAAGCTATCCTGGTTAACTTATGAAAACTATTTCAGTTTGACCTAAGGTGACAGACAAACTACTTTGGAGTTGATTCCAATCATAGCCTTGAAAATGTCTTAGATGATTGAGCAAGTAACACGTCTGAAACATACTCTGTTCCCTTCACAACCAGGGCACTGCTGATGACAGCACAACCCGCCTGGCTCATCGGCAGAATCTGAAAGGGCAGACCAGTCACTAGGGGCAGCGAGTCATCCCACTGAGTTTCTATTAACCCTGCAAGCCAAAGCCCTAATGGGTAGGGTGGTCCTAGCTGGACAAGCAGGGGGAAAGCTTGCAAGACAGTCATATCAATAGCAAACTATGCAGTTTTAGCTGGGTAGACTCCAACAGTACCCCAACACACACTCTGGGGCACCAAGCCTCGACTTTGGCCAACTTGTGCTTAGTACTTTCCGCTAATTGGGTAAACAGGATGACTCCCTCCAGGGAGAGGGTGCCCATTCCATTGCAACCATCTATCTCTGGGATTTCCATGTGAAGGTGGGATGCATGGAATTCTCAGTTTGGATACTCTTAAGCACGATAATGGGTTTCTCCATGTGTCAGTCTCCCGGCTGACCAAACAAAAAAAATTTGATTAATACGCTTGAAAAACGTCTTACAGATGATTGAGTAAATAACATCTCAGTTCCCTTCACTCGACTCTCTACCCCCTCCTCGCTCCCTCCTTTCCCTCTCCTCACCCTGACCATTTCCCCCTTGCTCGGGTCCTGACCCAACTGTACAGCGCCTTGGGACGTCCTCCCGACGTGAAAGGCGCTCAATAAATGGAATCTTGTTGTTGTTGTTGTTGTTGACAGCAATACTTTTGGATGCCCCAAAAGAGCAGAACAAGGGGATACATGTTTAGGCTTGGAAGGGGCAATTTCAGGTCAGACACCAGGAAATATCTTTAACCAGAGAGTTATTTTTCACTGTGTCATGTTACCAGGAAAGTTGGTTGAGGCCAGAACACTGGTATTTTTTTAAAGAAGCACAGCTGGATGTTGTAGTGGGAGAACAGTTTTCCAGAATCCATAGAAATTACAGCACAGAAGAATGCCATTGTGTCTGTACTGGCTCCTTTAAGAGTAAATGGGCTGAATGACTTTTTTTCATCTGAATCTCTCTTGTGAAAATAGTTATAGTTACTCGACACCACACCATGGGTGAGAAAACCCAAGGCTGATTTTAGATGTACACCAAGTAATGACTCATCTACACGCATGGAACCATAGAGCCTAAGAAGGTTTATAATCTGGATTATTGTTGCAATTTTCCTCAGTGCACCTGTACCTTGCCTCCTATTGGTTCACAACCCAACATGTTGCTGATATATTACTTCTCCCTCCGCCCATATGCTCTACCAGACTCCACTGGGTTCCCTATCACACAATGGATCGATTTCAAGATGCACTCAGTCGTCTACAAATTCCTTCATGTTCTGGCGCCTCTCTACCTTTCTCACCTGCTTTCTCCCCACTCCACTCCCTCCGCTCGGCTGGCTCTGACCTCCTGCTTGTCCGTCTTCCCCTCCACCATCAGCCACCACGCTGTCAACCATTACTCCCCAAAGCTTTGGAACTCTCTCCCCCAATCCTTCCGTCTTGCCCCTCTTTTAGATCACGACTGAAGACCTTCCTCTTCAACCTCGCTTCCTCCCTGCCCCCAGCTCGGTGTTAGGCTCAGCCACTGTTAAGCGCTCCAAGACGCTGCCCCATGTGAGGAGCTCTATATGAATTCAAGTTGTTGTTGTGTTGTCCCGTTGCACATTTCTGTATTTTTTAATATAGAATGTTCATATGGTTAGTGGAGTGTATACCTTGAACCAAGCTATCCCCACTATACTCTACTTTTGCCATGAAAATTGATTTAAGATAGAAACCAACATTTAAAAGTTCATTGAAAAATAAAGACAAACAAAACAACTCGCATTTATGTAGAGCTATTGTGCAAGGTAGTGTCTCGGAGCACTTAAGAATGGTGGAGTTTGATGCGGAGCCTGGGAGAAGTGGTAGATGTCCGTAGGCAGGGCTAAAGAGGAAGGTTTCCAGGTGTGATTTGAAGGTAGTAAAGGAGGGGGCAAGGCAGAAGTATTGAGGCAGAAATTTGCATAGTTTCAGGGTATAGTGACTGAAAGTACAGTCATCAATAGTGGAGCAAAGGGGACAAGGTATATGCAGGAGACTTGCCCTGAGTTTTTTCCAGCAAAATCCTGGGACCTTGTACACAGTAGAGTAAAGCAGATGTTCTGTGTGATGGTTATAATCCGGGTCTGAAACCATTCCAGAAGAGATGTCTGAAACTAATTACAACAACAACAACAAGATTTCATTTATAGAGCGCCTTTCACGTTGGGAGGACGTCTAAGGCGCTGGTCTTGGGACGTCCAAAGTTAGATTCTATTATTTGTACAGACTGGATACAAAGCAACTCATCTGTGGACATGTGAGCATGATCGAGTCATACAGTTGTGTAATCTTCCCGTACAGAGCAGCTATAATAAGTCTGACTTTCTGCTTTTGTTGCCTGTAGCTAATTTAGTGAAAAGCCACATGACTTCCCGCTTCGCCAATCTCCCTTTCAAGTACCAACGTCAAAACTAATCAGCATTTTTTAAAACAGATGCATTTGATTTTTGATGCAATTTTTTTCTGCATTCAAGAACTTTCACTGCCCAAAGGAAAACAGCTCAAAGCATTTCACATGGATGGTGGTGTCAAAATTTGCAGGTGATACCAAACTGGGGGGCATGGGTATACAGTGAAGGCAATTGCAGAAGAATGCAGGGCAAATAGAATATGGGCAGACAGGTAGCAAATTAAGTTTAATGTAGGAAAATGAAGTAATTAACTTCAGCAGGAAATGTAAAGAGAGGATCTATAATCTAGATGATAGGAATATAAGAAGAGTAGAGGAGCAAAGAGATCTGGGGATTCAGATCCACAAATCTCTAAAAATAGCTACACATGTAGATAAAGCTATATTTAAAAAAAGGCAACTGGGGTCTTGGGCTTCATGTCCAGAGAGAAAAAATATAAAGTGAGGTGATGTTGAATTTATACAAAATCTTGGTTAGACCACATTTGGATTATTGTGTCCAATATCGGTGTTCAAAGTATTTAACAATACCCATCTCAGGTGCACATCCTTGACTATCGATTTCCTCCCGACATGAAAGGCGCGATACAAATGTAATTCGTTGTTGATGTTGCTATGAGAAGGAGGTAGTAGCAATGGAAAGAATACAGCATTTTTTTACAAGGATGATAACAGGGCTGTCAGGTTCCTGCTATCAGGATTGATTAGGTTTTTTATCGCTAAAGGGAGGTTTAAGTGGGGAACCTAATAGAAATATATAAATAAAGAGTTTGATAAGGTTAACATAAATAGCCTATTTCCACAGGTTGGAAGTCTATAACATAGTAGAAGTCTGCAACAGATAATAGAGGTACAGTGGAGCAGTGAAGTGGAGAGATTCGAAGGTCAGAACAAGGATTTTAAAGTTAATCAGCTGAGAAATAGTAAGTCAGTGGAGTGTGGCAAGGACGTGAGTGATAGGCCCGAGCAGCCTGATATGGGAAAGAATACGGGTTGCAGAGCTCAGAATAATTTGTACATTTTCACAGAGTAAAATATTTATGTGTTTACCTGCATCTGCGGCGGTCACCACCAGCCTATACTCTGCCCGAAATTCCCTGTCCAGACTGTGGATCATGCTGAGCAGTCCATCCTCTGAGAGTGAGAACATCCCATCTTCATTCCCATAGTTAATCGTGTACGACAGTTGACTGTTAGAACCCAGGTCTTCATCACGCCCTGACACCTAGAATACAGGTTAGCATCTAACTGAGTTAAACTAATAGTGTTTTTAGTGCTTCTGTGTCTAACCAGCAAGTTCATTCCCTGGAAATAACAGCTTACAACGCTTGCTGATGTAATTCTTTTCAACTAGTTTTGTGTGAAACCATTTTTTATGTATTTGTGTATCAACTTCTACATGAATGCTCAATGTGGCTGTACTGAAGAATGTTCAGTTAGATTGTAGCAGATATGTCATTCTGATATGACAGTATAAAAATAGACCTAGCTCTTGTTAAAACAGAGTGCTTTCATAATATGTTGGACCCAAGCCAATTTCTTCAACTCTATTTTGCTGATTGAAATAATTCCAGGGAATTAGGACCAGGATCTCAACATAATAGTAATAATAATAATAATTTGATACAGCAGTTATAATGGTGAAAGATCTCAAAGTGATTGAAAGATAATCGCTGTCAATGTGGTGATTGCCTTTGAAGGCTAAAATGGCAGGCACTTTATGCACCTCAATGTCTCACAAAGTAGCATTGAAATGAATGACCAATTTACAATAATAATAATTTGATATAGCGCCTTATAGAATCATAGAATCATAGAATTGTACAGCACAAAAAGAGGCTATTCGGCCCATCGAGTTTGTGCCGGCTCTTTGAATAGAGCAATTAATGTCAATCCCACTCCCCAGCCCTTTCCCCATAACGCTGCAAACCCGTCCTCCTCAAATACCCATCCACCGCGTTTTTAAAAGTAGTTATCGAATCGGCCTCGACCACCCTTTCAGGCAATGCGTTCCAGATTCGAACAACTCGCTGCGTGAAAACATTTCTTCTCACCTCCCCTCTGCTTATCACGTCATTGAGACGTCTCAAAGCGCTTCACAGGATATATTGTAGAGTGGATTCACTGTATATTTTGTGGGTAACTCTCCTTTTCCTTTTCAAGTGGAATCTTTAATATTCATCTGAACAACCTGACAAGACCTTGGTTTAGCATCTCGCCTGAAGAATGGCACCTCTGACAATGTAGTGCTTTCCCAGCATTGCACTGGAATGTCAGCCTAGATTATTAGTTCAAATCATGATATGGGGCTTAAAACCAAAACCTGTGACCCAGAGGCAAAAGTACTACAAAATGAGCCGAGCTTCATTCGAAGGATAGCAACTCCAACAATTCCCTTAGTACAGCACTGGAATATACAAGTAACGGATTGCTTCTACAGTTATAAAAGCTACTGGTCTAATTTTGGAGTACAGTGTTCAGTTTGGGAAGGATATACTAGCTTTTAAGGGTGTCCAGTTAATACTTGGTCTGAAGGGGACTCGGTACGATGAGAGCCCAGGTAGACTGGGGTTATATTCCTGAGAGCAGAGGAGGGCAAGTGGTGATTTGATTGATAAAATTTTACGAAAGGAAGTGACAGGATTAGATAGTGGATGACTTTTCCCTCTGGTGGAGGAATCTAATACAAGAGGGCATAATCTTAAAAGCAGAACCAAGACTATTAGAACTGAGGCCATGAAGGTTGTAATGATGTGCATTCCTCTGTCTCAGGAAGCTGGAATTGATACTGAGACAGCCAAATACTTGGGTAGAAGAGGTATTAAAGGGTGTGGTTAAAGGGTGGCTCATTGGGATTAAATGATCTGCCCAAATCTAATAAACTGGTGGAACAGACTTGATGGGCTGAATGACTTCCTCGTGTTCCTGTTTTCTGAAGTGCCAGCCTAGATACTGAGATTAATTGATCCGTGGGACATGAACACATGACTGCCAGACCCAGAATTGAGCTATTCCAAATACACTGACACTAATCAATTAAAGATAAAACAAGTATTCAAGTACCTGGTATATCATCTGTGGCACTGTATTTGTATTCTCCAGAATATGTAAAATCATTTTCACAGGCTGAATAGTTGGTACAAAGTCATTGACATCTCTGAGTTTCACACGGACAGTGGCTGTTCCTGATCTGGGATTGCTTCCATGATCTGACGCAATAACCGTAAAAGAGCATAATGGAGTTTTTTCACGATCAAGGTTTCCAGCTACTGAGATCAATCCTGTTACTGAATCAATATGAAAGTCCTCGCTTGCCACAGAATATCGAATCTGCCCATTTATGCTCTTGTCTGGATCAGTAGCTGTGACTTGAAGCAAATCTGCCCCACGGGGCATATTTTCATCCACTGTGATATTGTAAGTGCTATGAGTAAAGGCAGGACTGTTGTCATTGACATCAGTAACGATGACTGTAATGTTCATTGAAGAGGACAGCGGTGGGTGTCCTTTGTCGGAAGCGGTCACGCATAGTATGAACCTTTCTGTCAGTTCTCTGTCAAGATTTCCAGTTACACTGAGCTGCCCGCTGGATACATCAAGGCTAAACTTGTTCTCTGTAAATTGCTGCAGATAGTATGTGACATGGCCATTGAGTTCTCTGTCCAGATCTGCAGCCTTAACTGAGACTATCACTGCGTTGACAGGAGTATCTTCAGGAAGGAAGACTGTAGTTGCAGAGCTAAACTGAGGGGCATTATCATTGACATCATCAAGGCTCACTGTGACCTGAGCAGTGCTTGTAAAGCGTGTTGAACCACACTGAGCCTGGTCAGTGGTCTGAACAATTAAAGTATAAACTGGTTGCTCTTCCAGATCTAATGGTTTTTGTACCCAAAGCAAAGCGTTACTGTCAACTGCAAACTGTCCACTGGGATCACCTGAAATTATCTTAAACGTCAAAGCAGCATTTGAACCTAAACAGAATAAAAGAAAATCATAATATTAAAGTAATATTCAGTGATTTATATACGATTCACACAGAACTTAACATCCACCGGTACAAATATAATGAATCAGCAGAACAGCATCAGATTTAATCTTTGCTCAACTTTCACCCAATTTTCTGTCTATCTTATTCGCAACATTGCATCAAATTTCTGGCATTTTTTTAAAAAAGAATTATAGTAATAATCCTTGCATTTGATATAGCGCTTTTCACATCTTCTTAACGTCTCAAAGTACTTCACAGAATAGACTGTAAAGTGAATTGACCGTAAATTTGTGGCCGAAACGCGGCAGCCAATTGCGCACAGCAGGGTCCCACAAACAGTCGTGGATTGAAAATGACCAATTTATTATTGTTTTGTTTTGGAGGGATTATTATCAGGCGTGTGCAGTAAGGAAAATTGAGTGACCAATATTATCTGGAATCGTTACATTTCATACCGCGTCTTTCACGTCGGGAGGAACATCCCAAAGTGCTTCCCAGGTAAAGCAGAGGGAGGGATCAGAGTCTGTTTTGTGAGCACTATCCAGTTCCTTAATAAGAAATACCATCAGAATTCCCAACATCCCCAGGAAAATGCCCCAAACGTAGATTGTGACATAAAGAGTGGAGTTCTTATGGGTTGACACAACATCCTTAAAAATATGGGGAAGGAGACCCCATTTCCATGACTTAAGAAATTTCACAAATTAGATGCCGTTTGTTAAAGAACAACAACCAATTATATTTGCATAGCGCCTTTCACGTCAGGAGGACGTCCTGAGGCGCTGAAAGAAAGAAACAGTGCATTAACATCCAGTGAATTTGCAATGAGAGTTATTCTCCAACTGGTAATGTGGTCAATGACTCCAAAATTGGAAATTGTACTAGAGGTAAATGTAATCTATTATTGAGTCCAATCTCCCGATCCTTAGCTTTAACTATCATTAGGGCTGCTGTGTAGGAGGTTCTTCAGGAAATAAACTACTGCTGGGCTATACTGAGTAACATTTGATAGTGACCCTGAGTTTCATTATAATCTCAAACATCTGAGCTGTCCCCACTTTTGTAACAAACAAGATGCACTAAGTGCCCTTTGCTTAAGAATTCCCAAATAAGGTTTGTTACTATGGTAATGTCAGGTAATTCCATGCTGAGACTACCCACTGCACTAAATTTTTCATACTTTCCTGTTTCCATTATTCAGTGTCGAGGACAGTTTACTTTCTTGCACTCTGTATTCTCTTAATTTGCCTGCTGAGTCCTACATGCCCAATGTCAGCAACACATCACCTTTGCCTTACACTATGATCCTCCTAACCTCTGGAATGCCTCCCTCTACCCCTCCATCTCATCCCCTCTCTATCTGTCTTCAAAACCGTATAAAAACCTAATGCTTTGAAAATGCTTACGGTCACCTCCCCCATCTCCCTTACACAGAAATCGACCCTGTCCTTGTGAAATGCTCTGAGACATTATCCATGTGAAGGGCACTATATAAATGCAAGTTATTGTTGTTATATTTAGATATTTAATGTAATAAGAGACTACTGTTATTTTTCTGAGCCTTTGCTATACCCAATCCAATATGAAAAGCAATTAAAAGTGATATTGATGCCTGTAGTTACTAACAGTCTCCTAAACCATTCCCAGTTCAATGCACAAAAATTATATGAATCTGAACATGTAAAATTATCATGGAAGTGACAATGCGGGGCTTTGACATCAGTATGAATTATCAGTTCTCAGCTTCGGCCCCAATCTGTTGCTTTTTTGCTTCAAAAGGGTTCAGACACTATTAGATATTGAGATAACTCATGGCCTTGACAGGAAAAATGCGACTGATAGATAAGAGTTTTGAGGCTTGATCCCATTAGAAATCAGCTGCCTTCCCGTGTTTTACATCTGACTACAAAGCTGTTGTGTTTAATCAATGGATTTGAGGCAGTCTGACGTAAGATTTAATAAATGGAGAGAAAACAAGTATTTCACTCAGCCTTTGTTGCAAAGGTCAAGTAACTGAACCTCAGGGTTTTCAAATTCAGCCTTAAGCTTTTACTTCAATTACCCTTCACTACCAGCACGGATTCCAAGCCATTTGTCTTCTCCTGCCTTGATCGTCTGGTTGTTTTTCCAAGGCATGGCATTTCCCTAATGACACTAGGCAGCTCCATGGGCAAAAGAAACATAAAGCAAACAAGGATTTGAACTGAAAACAGGAACATAATTTATAGACGTTTGCCAGGCCGATGCTTTAAAGACCTTGGGAGAATTTCCCGACAAATTAATTGACTTTGTGAAAGGTTTTAATTTAGGAGGCATAGAGAGCAGGACAGATAAATATACATTTTGTAACTTTCTGTTTTTAAGTAGGGCAGTCACCAGTTTATGGTATGAATCAAAGTCTTGACGATTGCAAAGCACCAAGAGTCACCATTTCTGATCTTCCCAGAGTCAATTATTTGCAGTCACAGATAGAGATGGGGCTGATGTCACATGAAAGGTCTGCCTGTGAGTAGGACTTCCGTAAAATAGTTCACAATGAATGAGTCGGAGGAATGAGTCAGAGCAGCAACCATCTGTCAGGCGAGCATTTCATACAAGTTGGATGAACAGAGTTAGTCATAGCAGGATTCTAGCATGAATAAACCAAACGGAGAGACACAACAGTATTGTTGAGGAGTAATTTTTTTAAACACACATATTAACAACATTAATCACTCTTAGCGAGGTATGACAGGCATAGGATGCAGCAGGCTATTTAAGACAAAATTAGGACAGCACCTTCTGGTACATTTCAGCTTTTTGGCTAAGACAAACATAATTTTCACTGTGTTTGATTACGGATATCGATCTGGCAAAATAATAATCCTTGCATTTGATATAGCACCTTATCACGTTGTCAAGACATCTCAAAGCACTTCACAAATTAGTGTAAAGCCAATATTTTGTGGGCAAAGCACGGTAGCCATTGCACACAGCAGTGTTGCACAAACAGTTGTGGATTTTGTGACAAATTATTATTATTATTTTTTGGAGCGATTATTACCCTCAGAAAAGCGATCCACCAATCAACTAAGACCTGGGTTCCTAATTGCTGATAAGTAAGCAACGGGGTACGTGAGGAAGCTTGCCTAGGGTTTTGCTGTGCCCAGGAATAGAACCCGGGAGCTCTCAATGGCAAGGCGAGTGCTCTTATCAATATGCTACAGGACTCCAGGTTTTTTGATCGTAAAAATTATGGACATAACATTTTAAGATCATAATTTTCCCCTGGTGATTTGAGGGCTGGAATTTGATTTTGGACTTGTGGGTGATTTCGACCCACCTTGTGAAGCTGGGTTAAGGCACTGGATTTTATGTTTAGGGATTTTACTGTAATTGGACTAATTCGGACCAAAAGAAGAAATGGCACATTTCTGTTCCCAGTAATTTAGTCTGAGGTGAGAAATATGGGCACTTACATGTATGAAGAAGTTACTATTAGAAAAAGTAGGTGGCATAGTATATAAGCGCAATTTCAGACAGATACCAAGAAGTTTTTTTTATTTACTCAGACAGTTATTAATGACTACAACAACAACACGATTTCATTTATTGAGCGCCTTTCACGTCGGGAGGACGTCCCAAGGCGCTGTACAGTTGGGTCAGGACCCGAGCAGGGGGGAAATGGTCAGGGTGAGGGGAGGGAAGGGAGGGAGCGAGGAGGGGGAAATGGTCAGGGTGAGGGGAGGGAAGGGAGGGAGCGAGGAGGGGGGAAATGGTCAGGGTGAGGGGAGGGAAGGGAGGGAGCGAGGAGGGGGTAGAGAGTCGAGGGGGGAGCTGAAGGCACGGTCAAAGAGAAAGGTCTTGAGACCGGCCTTGAAGGAGGAAAGGGAGGAAGCGGCGAAGGCACTGGGGATAGAGTTCCAGAGCCTAGGGGCTGAGAGGCTGAAGGCCCGGCCACCGATGGTAGGGCGGTTGGGGCGGGGGATGTGGAGCAGACCGGAGCCAGAGGAACGGAGGGTACGGGCAGGTAGGTAGGGGGATAATAGGTCGGAGAGGTAGGAGGGAGCGAGGCCGTGAATGGCCTTGTAGGTGAGGGTGAGGATCTTGAATTCGATCCTCTGGGGGATGGGGAGCCAGTGGAGGTGAGCGAGGGTGGGAGTGATGTGTTCCCGAAGCCTGGTGCGGGACAGTACACGAGCTGCAGAGTTCTGAATGACCTGCAGCTTGTGGACGGAGGTGCCGGGAAGGCCGACGAGGAGAGAGTTCCCATAGTCCAGCCTTGAGGTGATAAAGGTGATAAAGACTAGAAGAAGTTACCAGGAAAAAGCAGCTTGATGATGCGATGGGAGAATGGTAGGATGGGTGTTCTGGAGGGATAAGATGGACTGAAAAGCCTTCTTCATCCAATCCAGTCTTGTGATCTATGATAAGTATCCAATCTCAGCCTCCCTCCAATAGAAGGTGGAGAACGCCCTGAACAGAGATTGTGAGCTTCACAAATGAATGACGAATCAATACTGTGTTGTTCCTTGTGACCAGTCAAACAATATCAACAAAAGAGGCTTTGGGGAAGGTGTGTTATTTCTGGAAGTGAGGCAGAACTAAATAAAACTGAGTAGAGAGGAGCTTTTTTTAAAAAAATAGTTAAAGAAACTGCAAGTATTAGCAAATTATAAAAAGACAAGCAAAATTCAAACTGAAACTCACAATAAGGAAATGTTGGTGCTATATTTTGCAACTTTCTATAGCGTAGAGAGTAGAGAAAGGGTTACAACAGCAATGAACAATAGTTTGGGAGGATGACACAAGGTGCTTCACCACATCTGAAATGGAACCCATGTTTTGAATTGAGGAGGGGAAAATGGTGGAAACCACAGTCGAAAAGATAGGTCTTCAGGTGAGTTTGGAAGTTGAATAGGAAGGAAACAAGGCAGAGGAACTGCTTAATGGATTTCCAGAGCAGGGGCAAAACGGCTGGAAATTTTAGGCAGTAAAATTTTCCTGAACAGATAAGAGCTAGGGAATAAAATCCTGTGATGTATTTTGAGATGTCTCAGCACGTGATAAGGCATTATATGAAATGTGAGGATTATTGTAAAGGCTCGACAGGCTAAATTAACTAGTTGTGTTTTTACAGAGCAAAAATAATTGCATCTGATGTATCACCTTTCATGTCAGGACAACATCGCAAAGCCCTTCAGGGAATTTTCTGTAAAGTGTAGTGACTATGTATTTTTGTAGGTAAATGCCGATTTGCATTCAGCAAAGTCCAAAAATAGCAATGGAGTAAGAAAAAAATTATTTGAGTTATTGTTGGCCAAAACATTGGGACAAACTCCCTTCTCTTTTTGAATAGTGCCGCGGGATCTTTAACGACCACCTGAACAAGCAGACGACACCTTGCTTTAACGGGTCATCAAAAGACGGCATCTCTAACAACGCAGCACANCCCCCAGCACTGCGATGGAGTGGGTCTCAAAAGTCCGAGACTGTGAATTGAAAGTCACAGCCTTTTAAATCAGAGGCCAGAGGTTTTTATTTTTTTTCCCACTGAGACAGCATGACATCTAATGTTAAAGGAGATCAACTTAAATTGTATTTGTGATATTTTACTTGACTTGCTATAAAGTTCTCAGGGTTGGTTAGATAGCTGGTTATTTTGCAAGGTGAATTGGTGCAGTGAAGCTCAGGAGAGGCTCTTAGAACAGCACCATCTTGTGTAAAAGCTGCGTGAACTCTGGTTCCTATATTTGCATACAATAAATAGCAGCAGGTAGAGCTGCTGATGATGTTTAATACTTAGTACTTTGTGTTTCAATGTGCTCAATCCCATATTGTAGCATGAAAACTGCTGGAAATGGATGGAGAGCAACAATAAATGCACCATTCAATGACTGTAATAAAATGAACCGCACTCCTGTGCTCTAGGCCATAATTTGTATTGCGCCTTTCATGTCGGGAGGATGTCCCAAGGCGCTGGACAGTCAGGGGTTTGGACCCGAGCTGGATTTAAGATTAGGCAGGGTGGAGGGCAGGCAGTGGGGAGGGCAGGCAGGGGGGAGGGCAGGCAGGGGGGAGGGCAGGCAAGGGGGAGGGCAGGCAGGGGGGAGGGCAGGCAGGGTAGGATGGTGACCAAAGGCGCGGTTGAAGAGGAGGGTTTTGAGACGGAGGCAAGAGAGACAGCAAGGCAAAGGGAATATGGGATGCAGTTCCAAAGAATGGGGGCAGAGGGGCTGAAGGCCCTACCACTGATGATAGGGCAGGCATGGCCGGGCGGGGTACATGGACCAGGCTGGAGGTTGCTGAGTGTAGGGAGCAGACATGGTTGATATGGGATATAATATTAAATGGCATTATTGAAAGACTGAAATTAAATCACAAGCCCAAGCTTTCTATGAAAGACATTGTTGGGGAAGAGTGACATATGGCATAGAACTATCCCACATTGGGGACAAATCTAGACAAAGGTAGATGTGATTTGATCTGACCTGTGAAACATTTCTGAATTCCCTCTGCATATCCCTACTGTCATACTGTATGTTTAGTGTCTCTGCAGAAGGAGATCAGAACTGGGACACCACTGTACAAGAACGACACTGTCCTAATGTCCCAGGCATTCACATGTTAAGACAGTGAGTTAACTTTTATTTTCTAAACGTATGTAATATGTCACCCACAAAATATACAATCAATTCACTTTACAGTATATTCCGTGAAGCTCTTTGAGACATCTCAACAATGTGAGAAGGCTGTGATATTATTGTCTGTACTTTATGAATTTCAAATTGTTCAAATGCTAAACCTCCCTCATTTGCATATTATTGTATTGTAAAGCCAACCTTCCTTGTTTACTTATCACTGCATGGCAAACTCAATCATTGGAGTAACTATAACTCTCTCCCAACACCCGACCCAAAACCACCAAGTCCCTCAATACATAGCTAATACATTAGAATATACAGCACAGAAACAGGCCATTCAGCCCAGCTGGTCTATGCCAGTGTTTATGCTCCACATGAGCCTCCTCCTGCCCTTCCTCAACTAAGCCTTCAAGCATAACCTTCTATTCCTTTCTCCCTCATGTACCTATCTAGCTTTCCCTTAAATATATCTATGCTATTTGCCTCACCAACTCCTTGTGGAAGCATATTCCACATTCCCACTACTCTCTGTGTAAAGAAATGTCTTGTAACTTCCCTATTTGATCTATTTGTGACTATTTTATATTGATGGCCCCTGGTTTTGGTCTCCCCACAAGTAGAAACATCTTCCCTATGTCTACTCTATCAAAACCTTTCATCATTTTAAAGACCTTTATGAGTGTAATACAAAAATAAGATGCATTTGCAATATGATGGATAGTATCGTGGCACTGTTGACTGTTTTATAATCAACTTGAAAATGTTTCAGTTAAATACAGTATTTTGAAAAGGTAAACAGAACTTGAAGTGAGAATAAATGACCACTCACCTTCATCTGCATCAGTCACATTGAGGTTTAAAACTCTGGTGCCAACGGGGACATTTTCCATTATGTTAACACTGTAGGATTCAAGACCAAACACTGGAGGATTGTCATTGATATCCAACACATTCAAGTAAGTCCGGACCACACTGAACTGTCCATCTCCATCAGATGCTTTCACAGTGAGAATGTAATATTTTTCAGACTCAAAGTCCAAAGGGCGAGTTAGGGTAACATTTCCATTGGCTGAGTTAATAACAAAGAGTCCATCGCCATCATCTTCATGTATAGCATAAATGATGTCAGCAGTTCCCCAATTAGGAGCAGAAGCTGTTATGGAGCCTACCACGGTGCCTGGTTTGAATGAAAGAGATGATGCACCATCTTAATACATCGTCTTACTTACGATAAAGCGCTATATCAAATGCAAGGATTAATATTATTATTATAAGTAAGTTTTTAAATAAAGAATTGTACCCGTTTTATAATTTTTGTGGAACCCATAGCTTGCCATTGAGAGCACTGTCTAGTAAGCTTCCTGCTGCTCATCCATCTAGGCCCACCCCACCCACTGGGGCTGTGGCTTGCAGGGTTAACAGGAACCAAGTAGAAAGAATCACTGCTCCCAGTGACCAGTCTGCTTCTCCAAGTCCTGTTGATGAGCCAGGCTGCCCCGTGACATGGGATCTTCAACTTTCACCTGACCAGGCAGATGGCACCTCAGCTCAATGTGTCATCTGACAAATGTCAGAGCAAAGATATTTTTTGAAAAATCACCAAAAAAAACCTTGCAAGTTAACAAGAAAGATAACGGTGTGAAATTTGAAATGTTTCTTAACAGATTCAGAATATTAAAAGTGAATTGAAATTTCAGAAGGAATTGCTGGGTACATATCGAATCGGTTATATGTCTCAATTTTGACCCCACTGTATTTAAAAGCAGCACAACCTGAAACTCATAGAACATTCTGAACTGATGTGATTTTTTCAGTCAAAATTCAAGAGGTTGCTATAAACGTGTTCAATTTCTGGATTGTAACTGAGCTTCTCTGCCAAGTAGTTTATTTAAATGATTTAAAAATCACTTTACCTGGAGCTACATCTTCTTGGATTTCAAAGGAATAAACATTCCTTGAAAAGACCAGTCTGTTGTCATGGATATTCCCAGGGTTATGATCCGAAGCTGCTCGTGAAGACTGGGCACTGTTCTTAGCTGAACGAGCCTCTCGGTTTAGCTCTATGGTTTCCGAACTCATAGTGATGGAATCGATGGAGACACTTTCTGCCTTAACCAATGTTTTATGGGTCAGACTCACATCCAAACTCTGCTCAAAAAAGATATAAAATCACAGATTTTCTTCAGTAAGCAAGAGTCAAACATCTACAGCATAGAAGGAGGCCATTCAGCCCATTGTGTCTGATGTCAATACTGCTTTACCCAAACATTATACCGTCATTATCATGCCAGGATCCTTGGAAGCCAAGTATTTCAATGTTATGACTTGGACTCCAAAACCCAAAGTTTTGATTCTTTGACCCATTTAATCTTTGATGCCCTTCTTAGATGCATTACAGAAGAAAGCAAAGCGTGCAGAATTTGGCAAATTTTTGAATTCCGTTTTTACTTTGAAATCCATTTCTTGTAATTGTTAAAAGGATGAACAGAGAAACAACTTCAAAATTAAGGCTGTATTTAAGAATTTTACAAATCCTAGCTATTCTAAAATACAACATAAATAGCTAAATCTAGACTCAGGTGACATTTCTCCCTGAACGCAGCAAAGCAATGAGAAAAATTGGTCAAATGCAAACATATATATCCAGCACAGTAGAATACAAGTTTAACAGACTACAGTACACTGGTCAGAGAATATTTACTGTCTTCAGCTTTGTCCCTGTGGTGGATATCATAAAAGAAACATTTGCATTGAAAAATTGGAGAATAGAGCAGCAAGACTGATCTCAACTGAATAGATGTAGGCATATAAAGAAATAAATGGAAAATGTTATATACATTGTGTGTATACACACATATATTATATATACACATATATATATATAATATAAAATCACGCCCACAGACTTTAGTGATCAACTGGTTTAATACCAAGTTTTAATGATGTAATAATCAAAAACAACTTGCATTAATATAGCGCCCCTCACGCAGGATAGCGTCCCAGCGAACTTAAATTACGTATCATCATATTACATATGCATCATTATTATTAGATATAAAATTTTATACAAATAGTGCATATGGAGGACAGATCAGACCGCTCAATATTCTTTGTTCATGTCCTAATGATGCCACAGTCAAATCATACATATAAGCAAATAAACTCCTTAACAATCAGTGTATATGCTGTGCACAACCTATTCACTGTATGCATGTCATCAGCCACTATTAGGGCATTTCCACTCTTGAATCCTTACAGTTATGCATTAGGTAGACTGGCAGCTACAGAGCAGAAACAAACAAGTTGAGTGGAGCAAAGTATAGGAGCTATTCTAGTTTCAAATAATTAGCATTCATCTGTCTTTTATAAAATATCCTACAGTATCTAGCATTTTGAGAATTAAAACTGGACGCTAAGCTATGAAATATATCTCAGTGGGTCAATAAAATGAAAATGTCAGCTGAATGATTCTTTCACTATGGAAATTCTATTCAGTAGCAATTTACATAATGCTCCGTATAAAAACTGTCTAAAAATGCTGATCTGCGGGGAAAAAAGCCTTTGTTATAATTTTTTGGTATGAATGAGTTTACCAATTAAAAGCATATGGATTCATTAATGCAACTTTCAAACTGTGCATTTGGGGAGCCTCAAGGCAAAGGCTTTGCTCTTATAGGTTATAAACAATATTTGCACAATATCTTACTATCAATTACCTCCTACTAAGAAAACCTCTAATGTCAGTTTCAGATTACTTGAAGGAATTTCTGCAGTCAAAAGTAAATTGGGTTATGAAAAAGAATAGAAGTTTATATTTCATTACTCCAGAGAGCTTCGCCTCAGGCATTTTCAGAGATAGTTGCAGCAGTAAAAAGGCAATGTTACTCATGGCATTTTTTAAAGGAATTATCATTGATGTGAACTGAACTCAAAGGGAAAAAAACAGATTTGAATAATATTTCATGTAGTTGTTTCAAACCTTAGGATAATTGAAGTAATATGAAAGTAGGGATTAAATAAGTCATAATCAAGAATGCCTTTAATTATCAAATAAGATTCTGTACAATTTGCCTAAGATTCTGTGAAAACTGCCTAAACAGTGTTCTCTTAGCAACTGCCAACAAAATCTCCATTACCTTTGTTATTATGGAAAGGCAATTTACTGGTGGGGAATTTTAAAATTACTGCTGGGGAATTCCTAGGGGCTGGTGGAGATTTTCCCCACCACTTTATGTGTTAAAAAATGCCCTGATGTTACCATTATTACTATCACTAATAATAATCCTTGCATTTGATATAGCACCTTCACAGAATATACTGTAAAGTGATTGACTGTATTTTTTGTGGGCGAAACGCGGCAGCCAATTGCGCACAGCAGTGTCCCACAAACAGTCGTTGATTGAATAATAAATGTGACTATTACTGGTCAGAGAAGCCTACTCTGCTCATTATTCAGCATCATTTTCTTCATCAAGATAAATGAACCCTGAACCCCATTAAGATAGACTTCTTTTTGCACGGATCCTTAGATGCAACACAACATCCCATTTGATTTTGTTTAGGCACAACCAACTCACCACATTGGTGGTTTAAATCCTAGCAGTAATTTTAGAGGAAATGGTATAGTAAATAGAGGCACCTTTACATTTTCATGTACTCTGAATGATTTATTAATCAAAATGTAATCTCTGTATTTAAGTTAAGAACTGAAAGGCTCTAACATAGAAACATCCCAGATGGTATAACTATCCACATCTACCATTCAAGTTTATCTGCACTGCATTCCCTGACTGTAAGGAGGTGTTGAATCAACAATGGCACAGAATGATCTTCAGAAGAGCACAGATCTGAGTTGTTTTTCAGCCTTGAATTGGAAATTTATCCGCCTTAAATGTGGGAACATCTGAATGGAATTAGAAATGTTCTACAAACAGAAAAAGGCAACCATTAAATAGGTTTATTTCATCTGCTATAGTGTTCCTGATAATGGATGAGACATTTTCAAAGCATTGGGCTCCGCAATTTCTGGTGAACAGTAAATAGTCATGTTTATTATATTAACCAAGGTATTCTTGATTTGCTTACAATAAAAAGGAATTACATTTGAATCAGATTACAAAGGGACAGCTCTTCAAACAACCTTGTCTTCAAAGCTTTTAAATGTCAGGAGTTTTAAAGAGACAGCTTCATTTTAGTTGCTTTTCCAAATGTCCTAACTTGTGCTTTGCACATATTCCATTTCAGTCAAGCTGACAAAGCTACTCAGTTTTACTGAGATACATGTTTAACCAGCCTGCCAAGAATATAGGCAGCTGAGCTACTCTGCAGTTATTTATCAGGTATCTATTCACGTAGCTCTATTGCCATGGAATGTCTGTCAGGTCTGTTAAGGCCTTGGAACATCCTCCCAATGTGAAAGACGCTATACAAATGTAAATACAGTTCTATTGTGTTGGATCATTGTCACCATCTACAAAGGAGAAATGAGAGCACAAGAGAAAGGAATGACGGAATGCCTATTGTATTTGTGCAATGATTATTCAACATTTGTCTTTTAGAACATTTTTAAAGAGTTTTAAATAAAACGCCACTAGTTTTCTAAGGGAGATAACAAATTATTTTTGTTACTGTATTTCCTCAGTGAAAATACAATATTGTGCAAAGATACAAACTTTTTTTTATCAACGAACTGAATTGATAAAAGAAAATGTTTGTATATTTCTTTGTTTCTCTAGGCACAATAGTATTCCTGATGTAAAAACTGCTTTGTGTGTTATGTTCCAGCATACTCTCTTTATCTTAATGCCAATTCAACAGATTTTTAATGTTGCCACACATTAAGATATGATAGTGTTTCTACTGTAATCCACAAATGATAAGAGACGGCTGTGAAAGAGTTAGTTAGGTTTTAAAATATTTTGCCATTTCAAAGGAGTTGGGCTTTGATGAGCATTACATAATAGTAGATAATTTCACCCTGCTGGATAACTATAGCAACCAGCAACTAATGAATGCTCTCCAAAGAACAGGAATGCGACAAAGAAAAGTAAGGAGCACAGAAACTACAGCAAAAACACTTTGATTTGGACGCACAGAGCACAAATGCCTGCGTTACTAAAACACCTTTCCTCACACGGATTCCTTCTCAACTTTATTATGGAAAAGGTTTGACCAAAAACTCATTGAGCTATTATATGTGTGGATTATTCACACATCTGAAACACTCAAACCAAGAGGGATTCGAACAAACAAGGCTCCACTGTACTTTGGAAAGAAAGCCTTTAGAGTAGTTTCCTTTAACCTTTTTACAACTGTTCCGTGCTCGCTTGATGCACTCGATAAAGAAACATCATAAAACCTCCTGAATAAGCACCTCAATAAGCACTCAGGTAAATAATTACTTTAATGGCGAGTTAGCTTATTCACCGAAACAGAGGAAAACACCAATATTCTCTTTAAATAAACAGAACAACTGAGACACAGAAATTGTTTGCTGAGTCACTGGAGAGAGGTGTGAGGTATGTGACTCAGGAGAGGCCAGTTATTGTAGAGTATTTTGTTCTGATGTTTCCTTCTAAGGAGAAAAAGTGTTGTAGTAATGAATAAAGAAGACACCTACCTTACATAGGATTAGAATAAGACCTAATAGGGTTTTATTACTACATTTCCAGCTATCCATTGTACAACAGACACACAGGATTGTGCTTCAGCTCCCATCTATTTGGACATCTCTTCTTTCAGACTGTTACTCAGAGGCATTAATAAAGCGTGCTGTTCCCAGGTTTAATCTTGCCAAGTAATCTGCTTCCAAATAAGCCTGCGTAATCGCTGAAGGAGTGAGGCACAAGTCATGGAAAAGTCCAAAACAAATGAACTGTTTGCTCCGGCTATCCCATCAGGCAGCGTCAGTGAGCAGCTGTGTGAATTTCAGTGTCCATGGAGTCCAGTTATAGTTCTTTCACTGAGTGACGCACCCCCTTCTCTCTTCTTTCCCCCCCCCAGCTCAATACTGGCAAACCATTTACATGCATGAGCATTCACAGCTGAACCAATGCAGAATAGGCCAGCACAATGAACATGCCGGTTTCAATGCTGCTTGGAGCACAGAAAGGAAGGAAGCCGAATGCTTATTGAGTGCCACACACATTCTGGTGCATTTAGAGAGTCTACTTTGCTGGACAAAACAGGCAAACTTTTACTTGTTGAGTTGTGCATGCGTCAGTCTACCTGTAGACTAATGAACAGTTTCCTATTTATCTGGTTGATCTGTAGTTATAATT